TGATACTTAAGTTCTTGTCATCAGAGACCAGGTTTAAAAAGTAATTATTATTTATTTATTTATATATTTTGTTTTTAATCTATATTGCATGTATCCCATCATTACAGTGCACTGTATTTATAGTGACTTGTAAGAAGAATGTTTTACAATTGATATACATGTATGCACCCAATAATTCATTTCTTAAATTAATGATGGTTATGTACCAGGTATATTAAATGGTGGGAATTCATAATGGATATACTTTGAACATGTCTTCTTGGTTAGTACATGTACCTTGTAATTTCAATATTCATGATTTAGCCAGTTTATAAAAAAGTATGTTGTTGCAATGAGATATTTTTTTTCTGTAACTTTGCAAGTATTTTGTAAAACTTAATCCTTTTAAACAGAAACCCTTTATAAATTAGACTTCCTTCCCATGGACTAAGCCCTACAGTCTATAAACTGAACAGTTTTGTCAATCAAGTCCTTTGATGTTTAACTGAGACATTTCTCATCTTTCGTAGTACTAATGTGTTTATTTATCATGTCAGAAAAATGAACAAAGTTGATCTATTTTATTGAAAATATGAGTACAGTATGTATGGATAATATTAAAAGTTTGTATTTTACCCTGAATTGGACACCAGTTTTCATACCAGATATAGTTTCTCCCATTTTTTTCCTTTGTTCATTTATTTTTTTTAAGGTCCATTGGAGTGAGTCTCGAGGTGGTGGATACCAGACAGGCTCCTACACTAAACATTATGATGCTGAGGAAGAATACATTCACGTCAAGCAATTGCTGTTAGGAAGAGGTATACACAAACTGCAAAAAAACTTCCCCTACTAAATCTTTTGTGACTCCCTGAATTTAGTGAATTTAGAATTAACCTGCAACTGTCTGTGATCTGTCTGTTGATTGGACAGACTTGCCTTGTTGTGACTTAGCCTAGGGAGTCTTCTTGTATGTACAGCATATCATTTACTTGTAGTACATTATCTACCATCACCTGACTCACTCTGCATGCGGCTCTTGGCCTTCTTGTAATTTGTACAGGAATGTTGGAAGCCGTCCAAACTAATGATCCTCGCTTCTCTCTCAGTCATTTCACTAATATACTGCTATAGTCTTTCTGTGTTCACCTGTCATATGTTTTCTCTTCTCACATTTTTTATCTGCTGTATACAGTTAATGGACTTTATTGCCTCACTTTTACTAAAACACAATTATATATCAATTGTTGTGCAGCATTAAAATTAAAAGTACTCAACATCTTACTGTGCCTGGCTACAAGTGCTGGTATACCTGGTCACAACATCTTACTGACACTTGCTGTGTCTGGCTACAAGTGCTGGTATATCTGGTCACAACATCTTACTGACACTTGCTGTGTCTGGCTACAAGTGCTGGTATATCTGATCGCAACATCTTACTGACACTTGCTGTGTCTGGCTACAAGTGCTGGTATATCTGATCGCAACATCTTACAGACACTCTTTGTGTCTGGCTACAAGTCCTGGTATATCTAGTCGGAACATCGTACAGATTCTCACTGTGTCTGGCTACAAGTCCTGATATATCTGGTTGCAACATCTTACTGAAACTCACTATGTCTGGCTACAAGTCCTGATATATCTAGTTGCAACATGTTACAGACACTCACTGTGTCTGGCTACAAGTCCTGATCTATCTGGTCGCAACATCTTACTGACACTCACTGTGTCTGGTTATAAATGCTGGTATATCTGGTCACAACATCATACTGACACTCACTGTGTCTGGCTACAAGTGGTGGTATACCTGGTCACAACATCTTACTGACACTCGCTCAGTCTTTTAATTGTAGAAAAATTCTGTGAAAATTGTTGCTTATTAAGCTGGCTGTGTAAGAAAATGAGTCACTGCTTTTTATACTGCCAGTAATTGAGGTGTAAAGAACTTTGGATAAAAAGTCAATCATAGCATACATAATTAAAAACAGGTGCTGATAACTGTCTGATACTTGCTGTAACTTATCTCTAAACCTACTAGGCCAGTAGGTGTTGAATCCATACTTAAACAACTCATGCACATATGTGTAAATATATCGTATGTGTCTTGCATACATAAAGATAATTAAACATACACATAGATGTAAATAGATCATATGTGTCTTGCATACATAAAGATAATTAAACATACACATAGATGTAAATAGATCATATGTGTCTTGCATACATAAAGATAATTAAACATACACATAGATGTAAATAGATCATATGTGTCTTGCATATTACGATAATTAAACATACACATAGATGTAAATAGATCATATGTGTCTTGCATCATTAAGATAATTAAACATACACATAGAAGTAAATAGATCATATGTGTCTTGCATACATAAAGATAATTAAACATACACATAGATGTAAATTGATCATATGTGTCTTGCATACATAAAGATAATTAAACATACACATAGATGTAAATAGATCATATGTGTCTTGCATACATTACGATAATTAAACATACACATAGATGTAAATAGATTGTATGTGTCTTGCATACATTAAGATAATTAAACATACACATAGATGTAAATAGATCATATGTGTCTTGCATCATTAAGATAATTAAACATACACATAGATATAAATAGATCATATGTGTCTTGCATACATTACGATAATTAAACATACACATAGATGTAAATAGATCATATGTGTCTTGCATACATTACGATAATTAAACATACACATAGATGTAAATAGATCATATGTGTCTTGCATCATTACGATAATTAAACAAACACATAGATGTAAATAGATCATATGTGTCTTGCATCATTAAGATAATTAAACATACACATAGATGTAAATAGATCATATGTGTCTTGCATCATTAAGATAATTAAACATACACATAGATATAAATAGATCATATGTGTCTTGCATACATTACGATAATTAAACATACACATAGA